AACTATGTCTCAGTACGATAATTAGGGACATGCGGTGGATAAAGCAGAAAACCATTGAGAAATCACCGTTTAAAGCACATTTCGGTAGATTACCAAAAACGGAGTTTAAAATTATACGAGATAAATTTGTAGAATTCTCTGATCATTTAGATGAGCAGCATCTGGAGAGGTCGGCATTAACTGCAAACCAACTCAAGAAGAGGATTGACCAATCTCGGGATTCTCTGAAAATCGTCAAAAAAGGGCAGAAAAGCAGGGATGTCAGCCCTCTCTTCAAACAGGCGAGTATGTCGACACAGGAGAGAAACAGAGCAAGAACTCTCCGGAACTTGTTAGAGGCTAACGCAAACTGGAATGCAGAGCGGCGTAGATATGACAGACCCAGCCTCACACAATTAGTGGACACCACAAGTACAATCGACGCAGAGTTGCGAAAGGAGCTTTTTCACTCATGGGAAAAGGGATTTGTCGAGGAAAAACCAAAGGGGTTGGAGTGGAACAGCCACAAGCTCAGCCGCAGAGACGAGACAAGAAGAAGTGGGGGCGGCACTGACAAAACCGTTCAAAGGGAAAGTTGCTTTTGATTCACCAAAAACAGTGACAACAGCTGCAGGAGCAGTATACCGCAAAAGCAATCTGGTAAAGATGCCGAGTTCCCCTACGAAGATACCCAAGGACGGGACAAGCCAAAAGGAGAAGGCAAAGAGTCCATCAGAGGAGCCAAAGAGTAAGCACCAGAAGAAAGATGACGAGCTACTTGAGGACACGATATCGGAAGAGGAGGAATGGAACATACCGAGGGAACAGGTAAAGGACCTGTTTCAAGACAGCGAGACTGTTGTCACATCGCGGGACACACCTGTTGGTGGGGGACTCAATTTAGCAAAAAAGCGAGCAAAGCCGAATCTCGGGGGTCCAAAGACAGTGGGACCGAAAACACAAGAGCAGGTGGCGTTAAACCCGATAGGGGACTCGCAGGATAAAAGGGAACGAACACTTAAATCCAAAGTGAAAGTGGATAAAAAGAAAACTGCTGTAACAGCAGAGGAAGTCACTGATCCAGGACAAACAGAAACGGTGGACCAAACTGATCAAACAGGCAGTTCGAACACCAAAGCTAGACAGTCTAAGAAGCGCATAACAAGGGACACCCCACCTAGTTCAATCCTGAATGCGTTCCAAAAACAGGACATGGGAGACGAGGAATGGCAAAGCCTCGCCGATCAAGTGTTGACTAGAGGTCTGCAGAGAACGGCGGACAAAATAATTAGATCGAGAACGGAAAATCAAACAGAAACGACAGGCGAACACGGATCTCTATCAGGAATTTTGGACGACTCAGTCGTAGACGAACAAGGGAGTGCGAGCGTGAGGCGTAGTAAGCGAACCACGAAAAACCAGGGGCCCAAAAGACTGGGCAGCCCAGTCAAACATTCGGTTAAGTACATTAGCGCGGACGAAGAAGCAGACATTAACGAAATGGCTCTAGAGCAGTATCGATACGGACTGGCGAATGTCAAGACGGACAAGAAAAATCCGATGGAAACCCGATTGAAGCTTCTAGAACGCCATTTGTTTCGGAAGAAGTTTGGTTATGCCGCATTGGATACGACACAACCGTGGAGCACGTAGTGGAAAGTGCCTCTACAAGTTAAGAAACACTCAAAATAGAAAGAAGAAATTGAAAAAACTTATAGTAAAAACTAAACACCTTCATCATCAATGGGATCACAAAAACTGAGCTGAAAAACTCGTAGTATTGTTATTTATAAAATTTTATATGTACTAGATAAAATTTTATTGGTCCCTGGGGGAATGTGGTACTGCAGCATCCGCAGTACGTAACCTTGAGGACAGTTTGCTAGCTACTGCATCTGCAGTAACCATATGTGCTAACTATATTTATTATGCTAGTATTATATAAGAGTGGTCAAGGCCATTTGGTGTTACTAAAACTTTATAGATGAGTTAGTCAGTGTTTCATATTTCAAGCTATTAAACAGTAACCAACCTCAGCTACTAAACCTTGTTAACAAGACAAGATCAAGAACAGTAAATTAACAGTATCTCTTCTTACTTTTATTCCACAACACGCTACGCAGTTTAGGAATATCACACACCCCAATGTTTCAAAACTGGGGAGGGGATTTAGATTGGGTAGTAAAGTTTACTTTGAGTCACCCCCTAAACGGTTGAACCCCTTTTCTTGAACGAGAGGCTGAGGGGGAGGGGGAGGGGGAGGGGGTAGTGGGCAAATGGCGATAGTAAAAGTGTGCGAAAAGCAATTGTTACTATGACAACTGCCATAATCGATTATAGCCGACTACAATGGATTATTTTGATATACAAAATATTAAGAATTAAATCAATTATAATCCGTTAAATTTGAAAATTACCGAGAGTGACAATAAAAATCCTATGCAATCGATTAATATACATTAAACTCCAGTGCTAGCTACTAGCCAGAACACTAGTCTAGATAAGGGTGGGTTTGGTAAACCAATGTGTGAGCAAACTACCAGATCAGTAAACTAAATTATGTAAAAAAAATACATCATTTGCGGAATTATATATTTATATAATCAATTTTTGCAGAGCTAGAACAATAATTTTTAAACTTGAGGCTCATGGCAAGACTTTCCTTTTTCAATTTTCCAGAAAAAAAAACTCATCTTGTAAAAAAAATCAGTTCTCAATTAATGGGATTATGTAATTGAAGAGAGCATTTTCAGTTTGCTGATTTTTTTCCGCCCATGTTCGGTTTACTGATACATCGATGTATTGACCTTACACTTTTAGAGAAGTATGCACTCGGTTCGCTTGCAATGCTTTCTTCAAACAAAGAAAACAAAATTTTTCATCGTTAGAAGCAAAACTTTGAACTTTCTGGCTGCCTTTCAAAGTATTTGAAGCGGTTTTGGTTCCATCAGAAAAAAAGTCACCCAAAAAAATCGAAAAACGCTGTTTTTTTCTCTTTTTTTTGCAAACCTTCCCATACACGCATATTCTAATGCTAGTAGTTTGGTGATTATTATCTTGCTCAACATAATTGTTTTGAATGAAATCGGGCAAGCGAATTGGAAATCTTATTTCTTCAGACCAACACAAATTTAACACTTAATTGCAATCATTTATAGTTCATCATCTATAGTTTATCAACAATTTTTGAAGGTTAAATAAAGGGCAGGTGGATCATTCATGACTCTTTCCTGATATATGAGCAGTCTTGATTCACATATATTAAAGCGTCATTCGGCCAATAAGCTGGCTTAGTTTGAATTTGGAACGAACTTCGCGCCAGATTGTTTTGCTGCTTACGCAACACGTTGAGAGAAAACTAATGCTGCGCTGCGTGTTAGCAAAAAAGAGGCAATTTGGTTGTCATTAAATGGCTAAGTTAGCAAACCTGATACCGTCATTTTTTGATTTTTTGCAACAATCGATCACTGGTAGAATCTCATTCGATTGTGATTTCAAGGGATCGATATTTTTCTGATTGTCTGTAAGAATTGAACAAGCAATGCTGGTAAGAAAGCGAAACTTGTCTGGAGAATACAAAAATATTCAATTACTTAATTTTTAATTTGAAATAAATTAGATGCTTGACAATTTTTTTAAGATCAAAGTGGTATCATCTTTGTCATACTTCTTAAATGTTTTTATTGAAGTCAGTCTGATTCAAAAGAAAAACAAACAAGCATAACAAAAAGCTTTCAATCTGTAATTATAGAAAAAATAGAAAGTAAGGAGATAGCAATAGATAGCACGGAGCTGAGTTTTCTGACTGGCTTTTAATAATCCGATGACAAACTTTTGATTAAAAAATTGAGAAACTTTGGATAGAAAAGAGAAATAGTTTATTATTTTATTTTATTTTATTACTCACGTTTTTTATTTTATTAATCCACAAGCATGTAAAACATAAAATAGTTTGCGTCCAGTCATATATTAAGGAATTAAACCTCCTGCCTTATTCAAAATGATTATATTCGCTGCTTACGCTTTAAAAGGACAGTATAATTTTCCGTTAATTGTTCCAATCAGGGGCGGACATAGGATTTTCTCGGGGGGGGGGGGGGGGGGGGGTGCGGATTTTCAAAAAAGTTTCGAAAAATTTGTCGACCTTTTTTTAGGGGTCGATCAAATTGATTTTCCGAGCTCTCTCAAAGCGCTAAGGAGACCCTGTTTTGGCCAAATGTTCTGCGGCGAAAGCAAAATTTTGAAAAAACCGGCCAAAAAGGGCATTTTTAAGCACTTTGGAAAAGTTTCACCAAAAATAGCGTTTGTTTTGGGCGCGCACTCCCCCTTCTGAATTAGTACATATTGGCGCCAAAGGCGCCTTTAGAAAAAATTTTTGGGTCCGTCAGCCAAAAATGGATATCTCAAAATAGTACAAAGGGGGACCCTTTGTGTCGGCAGGTGGTCGAATCCAATTTAGATTTGGCAATTGGTAATTTTCAAGCCGATAATTTTACCAGAACTGAACACAATTCAAATTCAGTTTTTTTTAAATTTTAGTTTTGAGATGTACTGAAAAAACTTCGTCGAAATCGCGTAATTAAAAAAATTGTCAAGAAAAAAAACTACTCCGAGCACAAAAACTTCTTCAAAAGTTGGATTGAACAAAGTAACCTTTTTTGCGTTTCTAATAAGAGTTTTTTTTTTCATTTGAACTTTTACGCAGTCGATCATAAAAATTGTTAATGAAACGAATGCTCTGGAAAAATTAATCAATTTCCAAAGTAAAATTTCAGATTATCGTCAAATTTCAGTTATTAAGCCAAAAAGCGCAAAAACAAAATTTAAGATAGTTTTTTTTTAAAAAAAGTCATTTTATCCCCTTCAGTATGAAATATGGCGTGCTAAGTAATGGCGCATTTCCAGGATTATTTGGATTTTTCTGCAGCAACCTTGTAGCATCAATGGCTCACGCACAAAAAAAAACAGAACTGCAGAAGAGCCGAAAAAAGATTTCGGGCTTTATTTTTTTTTGTTGGTAGGTATATCGCGAACACTTGACCGATGCATTCAGACCGAGTGTAGCTGCAATACAACATGCACACGAGGAGAGACTGCGCATCAAGCTTGAGGGTTTGGAGGGGGCGGAGGGGGGCAAGAGGGACCATATGATGGGGGGACCAGTCGGGGGTGGGGGCAGGGACTCAGTCGACTCCGCCCGGAAAATGAAGGGAAAGAAGAAACTATCTCATCCATCACCTGTCGCAAAGCGCAAATAACGCAGTTTTGCATTTAACCCGGACACATTGAACACATCTTGGTTAAACTTATGCACCTGAATTTCAGTTAAATTTTGAATACTAAATAAAGTTTCAAATTGTAAAACGCGTAATGATATCCTTTCTCAAATTAGCGGTTTGTCGTTCAAGTTTAACCGTAACAAATCAATGACAATTTAAACATTGTGTCATCGGTATTGTGAATGGCTCAATGGCAATATATCTTTTCTGAAAGCCTTTTCATAGGAAAAATATTTCAAATCAAGCAAAAAAAAACTTCAGAATTGCCTTCGATCGTTTAAGAGTCAATGAGTTCAAACTCTTATGTAGGTCGCGATAATTTTTATTCTGTTTTTTTTTTCAGGAAAAGCCTCAATTTTGTTCAGGCTCAAATGTACTTTTTCGCAGTTTGACTTTTGATTTTTTAAATTCTGTCCATTTCCTTTGTTAAAATCAATTTAAAAATCAATTTAAACACTATCGAACAGCAAAAATTATCTTATCGAAAAAACGCCAATCATAATTTGTTATAAAAATTCAAAGAGCTTTAAGGGCATCTAATTTGAATGTTGGAATTTTTTTCAAAAAGCAAGTTAGTGTTTTTGCTGTTTAATTGTGTTCATTGACTCTTTTCCAACTGTCTGGTGCCTATATTTATATATTTCTTGCTTTTATTCTAAATTTGAATAAAATTAAAAATCAATATTTCGATGAATTTTCTTAAGTAATTTTTTTGCGTTTATATGGCCAAAATGAATAGATGTACCTATGAAAACTTTTCGTTCGAAAGCAATTTTTCGATCGCCAAAAAGCAGCGGCGGATCTAGAATTTTCTCTTTTCTCGAGGGGGGGCGGTTTTTCAAAAATGTTCGAAATTTTGTCGGCATTTTTTTTTAGGTCGACCAAATAGGTTTTCCTAGAGCTTTCCAAAGCACTAAAAAGTCCCAATTTTCGCGAAAATTTGTGCGCCGCTGGCAAAATTTTGCAAAAACAGGTCAAAAAGGGAGCACGCTCCCCTCTTAAAATAGTTATATATTGGCGCCAAAGGCGCCCTATTTAGAAAAATTTTAGGGTCCGTCAGCTAAAGTTGGATATCTCAAAATAGTTTGAAGGGGGGACCCTTTGGGTCGGTAGGGGTCGAATTCCTGAGAAAAAACGTCCGCCCCCACCGCCCCCCACCTTAAATTCGCTACTCCCTGCCAAAATGACCTGACAACGAGCATAAAAACATACAAATTCCCCACTAAAATTTTATAGAAAAAAAGCAAATTAAACGGATTAAATCGACAACAAACTTATACAATAAAATCTTGGCCCATTTAACCATAATATTGGATTTTCACGCATTTTTTAAAATCCAATAATATCCATAACAATCGCTTGTAATCAGGGGCGGATTTAGGGGGGGGGGGCGGGGGGCGGACGCCTTTTCCCCCTCAGGGATTCGACCACCTGCCTACCGAAAGGGCCCCCCCTTTGGTACTTTTCAAGAAATCCATTTTTTGCCGACCGACCCTAAAATTTTTCTAAAGGCGCCTTTGGCGCCAATATATACTACCTTTAAGGGGGAGCGCGCGCCAAAAAAACGCGCGCTCCCCCAGATTTTTTGTCAAAATTTTTCAAAGAGTGCCTTTTTTGACCTGTTTTCTTTCACCTGTTTTTTTGACCTGTTTTTTTCAAAAATTTGCCTGCGGCGCAGAAAATTTGGCCAAAAAAGGGATTTTTAGTGCTTTAGAACAGCTCGGAAAATCAATTCGGTCGACCTAAAAAAAAGGTCGTCAAAATTTTCGAAAAATTTTTGAAAATCCGCCCTCGAAAAAATCCTAGATCCGCCCCTGTTTGTAATCATTTTCTGGTTTCAATATAACCAATTGGTTTTTGTTACAAAATTTATGAACATCTTTTTTTTGCATATATGAGATGTGAAACAGAACCCGAACGAACATGTTCATCCCCGTGGACAACCCCCCTTCAGCGTTCGCTCATAACTTTTCACTCCCATACAACCTTCCACACTCCTCTCCATGCACACCCTCTTGCGTAGGGAGAAGGGTAATCTGGGAGAGAGAGAGAGAAAAAAAAGTGGTTGGGCGTTACGTTTGGAGTGTGGCACAAAAACGGGCTAAACATAGGAGGGGGAGCAGTAAGGAAGGAGGGAAGTAAATCGGACATGGAAGAGTGTAAAAAAAGTTCAACAAAATTGAGAAACTAAAAAATTTTATATGCAAAAACTGTGAACGGAAAAAGTTGAAAACAAGAGAATATTTTTTCCCCAAAATAAGTCTAGTTTTAGCAATTTTCTAATCAAAAGTTGTGTTGAGCCAATATTATCAACGGTCAATTTGTAAAACCACTGAACTCTGCTTGAAAGTTTCAGACCATTTTCAGAAAAAAAAAATTAAATTTCACAAAAAATTCATCATTATCAATTATAACCAATTAAAACAGATTTCATTGATTTGACAAAAACGAATACTATAATTCAATTTTATTTGATTATAATCAATTAACTTGATTTTTGTGGAGACTATTAAAAATTTAATATACTCTACTTTCATCCATAAAACTCCAGTGCGGGCGAGCATTACTTTTTGTTGAAAACAAAATTTTTGGTCTAAGCGAGCTCTGCAAACTTTTTGTACCTTTTTGGTCTAAGCAAGCACTACTAGCCCTCAGAATTTAATTTTCCGTTCAGAAACTTTGGTTATTTTCATGTTCGACTAGAAAACATGTGTTTTTTCTCATAGTTTAGTTTTTTCAGAAGCTTTTCTCTTTTCAACAAAAAATGTATTAAACGCGGTCAAAATTGTATAAACTTCAACTTATTTTGAGCTGTGTTAGAATTTACAGAAAGAAATATGACACTTTATTGGCGCCATTTTAACAAAATGTTAACTAAAATGAACATCTTTATGAAGATCGAAATTGAACTAAGCTAAAGCTATTGAACCAAATTATAACAATCAGTAGGTCGAAAGTTTGTAAATTTTAGTGGTCTCAGTTACGTCAAGGTCATCTGAATTTTGTTCATATGAATCAAGGATACTTTCACGTTATCAAACAGATAAATAAACAAAAAATGCATCGGAAACTTCTCAATGTTATGCAATTAGTGAACTTTTGAGTTGAAACAAACTTTTGATGTAGTTTTGGCACTTTGGATTTGACAGTTCAATTTTGTGGCCAAACAAGCTATTGATTATTTTGATCTTACGATGAATGCCCGGTTTTGTGTGACTTCAGTGGTTAGCTTGATTGGTTATTTTGTAATAACCAGAGCAGGGGTTTCTATAGGCAAATGTCCCAACTGGATCAAAGGGGTTCCGGTAGACCAGGAAGACTATGGCGGTATCTGGTTCGAAATCAAACGAATAGATTCGTTCATGGAGCCAGGAAATAGCTGCAACTTCATACAAAACACATTCTATACAGATAGCAAAGGTTAGGGATATTTAAAATCTCAGGTTTAAGGTTTAAAATTTCATTTGGTCTTATGACGTTCTCTCAATATAAGATTTTCAAAAAATGCTCGTATTCATCAAAAATACAGTTTTTAATTTTTAAATCTTGCATAATAGGTCGGTTCCAAATTTCTTTAAGGTCTGAAAAACCCTGGTGATGAAAGTATATAGTTAAATTCATACTTTTTTTTCAATGTTTTCAGTTCAATTTCAGTATTTCGTTCAATTTCAGTATTTCGTACAGAAAATTTGAATTCTCGAGCAGCTACATAACTTGCTATGCGCTTATTACGCTAGATTAACTTTTTTTTGCTTAAGGCGCTTGAAAACATACCTTCAGGTCTAATAGCATCTTTCTATTCACTGGATTACAGATTAAAGTTTTGGAACTTGAAATGGGTTTAAAATAATTTGCTGTATTAAACTAGTTCAACCAAATTAAAACAGGTTTTCTTCCGGTTATTTCTGAAAATAATTGAGTAAAAATTTGAGCTCGGGTTGGCTTTTTTCACCAGACAAATTTCAATTTCTTGACCAGCAAATTTAATTATCATTTTAAAGTTATTTTTGTCTTGAGCTCAATATCCTACAAATATTTCACTTGTGGTCTTTTTCGAAAAGTTACTAGGGTTTAAATATTGACCGATTTGGGATAACAAACGCGCGATGTAAGCAGAGATTTAATCCGTCTTAAATTCGTTCCAAAATAGTTGAAGCAGGTTAGTTGTCGTAATTGCTACGTTACTAGGACTAAATTCGATTACTTTGTACTTAAGAATATATATCGACTCCATGAAACCAAAGTTAAAAAGATATTTTTGTGCAAAGTTTTGGGAGTTTGAAAATTTGACCAATTTATGGGATTTTTGATGATTTTATCCATAACCCTGAAAGCGCAACGCGAAGTATTTATGCGGGTCGAATTATCCCGCACAACAAAATCGTTCCAAATTGACTTGAGCCTAGCTAATCGGTTCTATTAATTTCGTAGGACTCAATTTTTACTTTGGATATGTCCAAAATTTATAGTTATTCAAAATTTGCTTTTTTATAAAAATCTATTCGATATGGGTTAATGGGCAGTCGGAATACTCATGCAAGTTATATGCAAAATTTTCAATTTTTCTGCAATACTCATGGCCTTTTCGATTTTTAAACATATAGACATTTACAAAAACTCTGCAAAACAATATTCTTCACATTTTTATCAACCAACTCCTCAAATTAAACGCCCTTTTTAAATCTAGCTCCCCCACACTGTTCAAATGCGGCGAAGGACCTTACTTTGGGGAGCTAAGTAAAAACCAGCTAAATTCAGAAACTAAAACAAACAAGACTGCTCGTATCAGGGCGAAGCCCTGAATGTTCCGACTGCCTTTTAAGGTTTATGAAGCAGCAGTAATAGCATAAAAAAATTAAATGAAATAAAATAAAAGGAAAATTTTTTTTTTCTAAAATTTGAAATTTTTTATGAAAATCATCACCCCACACGCCATTTAAAGTACAAAAAAAGAGATTTCGTTCCTTGTAACCAACCAATTATGGCAAATAAGCTTCGTTCAACCAATTTGGAACGATTTATAAGACGAATTAAGTCTCCGCTTACGCGTTAATAGCGCGAATTATATCGCGCGTTAATTGTCCCAAATTGCTCAAAATGACCGAAATGGCAATCTTTACCCTCATAACTCTACGAAAAATGATCACAGGTGAAATATCTTTTCAAATTTAAGCTCAGGACAACAATATCTTTTGAATGATATAAAAAAGTGCGTCAAAATGGCTAGTTAAAAAGTCGAAATTTGTCTGAAGAAAAAAAAAACCCACCCCGAGCACAAATATTCCGTTACTTTCGTACCGAAAGTCGGAACAATAAATTAGAAAATGAGGAAAAATTATGAAGAGAAATTTATAGAAAATAAAATAACATTTTTTGAACCGAAGTAAATTTCTATTTACATAAGCCAACATAGGTTTAAACGGAGCTATTAGTTTTAGAAAATTTTGGCCTTATTTAAAAAAAAACTTCTGTGAACCAGTGAGTTTTATTGAGACTGAAAAATATAATTGATTCTGATTCATGAAACTAAGGTTCGGTAATGTTCCAAATTGGCGTTTTTCAAATAGCCAAATCCATACTCTGCGTCACTTGCTTCAAAAACTGGATCTACAGTCCAGTCAGCTCATTTCAGACTAGCCAATGAAATGGTTTGACTGTCTTTTAAAGCGCATGATAAAATGTCTTTCTTTAATATAAAAAAAATTTTTTTAAAGCGTTGCATTTGGTTTGATTGTCTGATATTGTAGCCGGTATATACAAATATGTAGAAGAAAAATAGCGTAATGGCGTGATAAGTTTTTGCGCCTAATAGCATAAATTTTGGGTTAAATAGCTTTTGCCTCCGTTTAGGTTTTAGCTTCATTAATTCATCGCTCCAGATTGCTCCATTTGGTAATTCTCAAACCTCCGTTTTTAGGTAATAAATTCCAGCTAGGTGTTCATTTTATATTAAGCTCAGGGCATCCAATTTTTCAAAAGGCAGAAAAAATTCTCAATAGATGAAAAATCGACTTTGCTTAGAGAAAAACCTATACCGAGAACAAATATTCAGATTGTCACTTAATTCGAAAGTCAAACAAAAAGCTTTTTGTTGATTCATTTGAAGCCAGGTCAGAACTATTTATAGATTTAGCTTTTGTCAAATGAGTTCAAAAATTAGTTTCAATTTAACGTAATTTTTAAACGACCAGCCCAACCCCTCTAAAATAAAACATTTTATGGTATTTGAGAATTGTCCCGTGCGATTGTTTTTTTTTTCGATCAAGAAGAAAAAACGAATAAAAACTCAAAAACCAACGACAACAATTGTCAAAAAAAGAAGAATTAATAACTTACAGTTGAAAAGATATGTTTTTGCAGTTCTAGTCAAAGTTTTGTAACTTTTCAGGTGTGCGTCATGTTAGAGTCAATAACACGGGATTCGACGGGTCCCGCTACATTAGCAGTGTTGCTGACGGGACCCAGCCAGATCCTTCTACGCATACCTTCAATTTCAACCCGGCCACAATCTCAAATAGCGTCATCCGGAACCTCGAGCCTAACTTCTTTAACATTTACGCCGACAAAGACTTCGTTCTTTCGTACTCGTGCCAAACTGTAGCAGGAATAATGAAAGCAGAATGCGTGATTTTGGCATCTCGTGATCGATTTCCAAAGGACACTGAAAAACTGAAACGAGTTGAAGGGGCTCTTGCTCAGCATGGAATCAATAAGAAGTTTGTAAACGTCAACCATGAAAACTGCCCACCCATTCAAGCGGAAAAACAGAACATGTTTTTAAAGCTTATGAGCTTTTTGGAGGACTGATAGCTTGAACTTGCCAAAGGATTTGCAATTGCTGATTAAAATTACACAAGAAGAAATTACACATTTTACATTTTAAATTGGAGTTTTGATCTTTCTCAAACGTTTTGCTTCAATAATTTTTTGGTTGAAATAAACCAAAATCAAACCTAATCCAGAAAAAAAATTTCAAAGAACCACAGAAAAGAATTTTCGAGAAATCTCTCAGCTGAATCAATCGTTTCTGTAATCTTTCTTATCAAAACAGTTCTAAAGTAATCCATCTGTTTTATGGAGCACGATAAGATAACGGTCCAAAAAACGGTCAGCCGTTTAAGTTGAACGATAAAAAACATTTTAAATTGTTTAATTTCAAATATGATATTATGTGAATAACCGAAAATGTTGATTCATCACGATTTGACTTACAAAATATATTTAATATTATGCCTTCAGCGCAGTATCCACAAGCTATTTGAATCATGATGCGACCAAAACGGTCGAACGATGTCCAGTTTTTCAAATATTGTCCACCTTCGATTTTGCTCGACTCTCTCGGTCATCATTCATTTTTTCCTGTTCGACTATCACATAATATAAAATATTCTGACTTTTAACAATAAATTATGTTTTCAAGGTAAAAAAAAATTTTGATAACTTTTCAAGAAAAAAAATTATGTCTTTAGGCTGAAAATTATTGCAGGAAAAAAAACTCGTTTTTAATAAAAATTGCTTGTTTTGTGGACTTATGTAGTAGGAAAAAAAAAGATATGGTTCGCCACAGATTGAAACCGATCGTGCTTGACTCATGGTTCGACACCGATCCAACCTGACCGACATGTGATTTGACCCTGTTCAACTCATCATTTGTCCGTGTTTGACTCGTCATCCGAACCTGTTCTTATCATGATTCGACCCCGTCCGACATATGGTTCAACCCGGTTTGATACATGATTCGACCCTGTTAAACTCAAGTTTTGACCCTCCTCATTTAACTCATCAATTGCATTACGATGCCAAACTGACCACTGGAATGGCGCACAAGGTTTCTGGGATCCTATAGACAAGTCTTCAAACATGTTAAAATTTTGACGGAACGATGAAAGAAAACGAAAGAACAAATGAAGAACAAAGAGATCATCCTTGTTGCAGAATCCGCTCGCAATTGATAAAACACACAGTTTGCCCTCGTAATGTGAGTCTGCTCAACTCATATTTTGGCGCTCTTTGACCTATGCTTCGACACTGTTCAAATCAAGATTTGACCCTTTTTGAATCATGGTTTGACCCTGTTTGACTCACAGTGCGAAATTGTTTGACCCACGGTTCAACACTGATCAGTTTATGAATCGGCTTTGTTTTTCTAATAGATGGCCTTTTTTGACTCATGTTTAGACTTTTGTCCAAACGAAGCCTTGGGTCAAATTATGAGTCAAAAAATAAATTGATTCATAATTTCCGATGTTTTCCAAAAGTTAATGACTAAGGTAAACAGTAGTCAAGTTTTTCAAAATTGTAATTTAGTGGGTTGATTATCTTTTTTTATTCCAACGAAAATGAGGCTAGCAGATAGTTTTAATTCCCTTCTAGCCGCAAATGTTATCGCATTTTACTTCTGTCATGAAGAGCTAGAATACACAAAAAGTTCTCCTATTAATTGCTGAGTTATGAATTTTCATAAACTTTGAAAATTTTTTGAACAACTTAAAGAGCCTTCGGTAAGTTCAACGTATCGTACGTCTTGATGCAATCACTTGTGTTTTTTCATACCTGAGATTGTGCACATATAGTATGAGCCTAAATTTCGAAAAATGAAAAATATGTTTTTGTTTTTTGATGGGTTTATAGAAAATGGCCAGGTTTCTTCAAATAATTTTTTTTTCGAATTTTCTTGCAACAATTGAATAACTTAAATATCCTAAGTCTAAAAAAACAATTATTTCACCGGCAAGGAAAGCGCCTGAAATATGGCAGTTTTGAACGAAATCGTTTTGAAAGTTAAATTAGTTAAGCAAGTAGGTGACGCAGTAAAAACCACCAATGTTTTTTTTTGTCTGTGTCATTCACTGTAGTGAGCTACTTTGACTCGGATTAGAGATGAAATCAGAAATAAATATTGCAATGGTGAAACATTACTGCTTCAATCCTGGCCGAGAGTCGTTTTGGAGTTTTTTAATGCTGATCTTAGCAAAATCAGTTAAAGTAAAAAGAAATTTTTTTTTTGCCTGTTGCGCAAAATAAGACCCTGTCCGGTTCGAATCCTGTATCTATTGTGCCCAATAACCAAAGTAGCCTGATTAATTACCCCTTCAAAATTTGCTCAAGAGGCGTATAAAAATAATTAAAAAATTTATATATGGAAGTGAAACGCAGAGTAAAAAGCTTGAAAGTGAAACGCAAGTTTTTCTCTGCTATTACGCTTAATCACTGATAATAAACTCTTAGTGATCATTGATCCAGTGCTGAACAAATAAATCTAAGCACATTGGTGGTCCATGAGTTTCGCTGTTTGAGATATGTTGAACACCTGCATTTTTGAATATTGCTGCAGAAATTCCGAGTCAGTACTGATTTGCTCTGTGTTGTCAACTGTTATCAACGTGGGTACCGAGCGTGGATATATTTTGTTCAAAAATCACCTAAACCGCAAAATCGATCAAAAAAAGTAACTCCAAATTGGTTTGATACAAGCTAGTTGATGCTTTCAAAACATTACTAGACACAAAATAGTTAGTTTGAATGCAGTTTGTGGCAAAAATTGGAAAATTTTTTAATTTGACAGTTCAAAGGTTTTCTTGAATAGGAGAAAATATTTCATAGAATATGACTACTAGTCGAAAACTTCAGGATTTTAACCTTGAACGAGCTGTTTTGTCCACAATTGGACGCTTTTACTGATGCCTTACGTTTTGCGCAGTGGCGTAAACACTGGCTCCGTGGCGCATACATTGAACACGAGTTGAAATGCGCGCTTGAAAAATTGTTGAATGCTTTGCAGTAACGCTCATCACTCAATTATTGTTCCGACTTTCGATACAAAAGTTAAGGAATATTTGTGCTCGGGATGGGTTTTTCTTCAGACAAATTTTGACTCTTCAACTAGCAACTTTTGACGGAAATTTTTTATATCTTTCAAAAGGTATTGTTGTCTTGAGCTCAAACTTGAAAACTGTTTCACTTGTGATCTTTTTTCCTAAAGTTAAAGATCGCCATTTTGGCCAATTTGGGCAATTAACGCGGCAATATATTTCGCGCTTTTAACGCGTAAGCGGAGAGTTAATCCGTCTTAGAAATTGTTCCAAATTGGTTGAGAGAAGCTTGTTTGCCATTTTGATTTGTTACAAGGAGCGAAATCTATCTTTTTGATCTTTATGGCGTGTGGGGGATTATTTTCATAAAAATTTTCAAGTTTTAGAAAAAAAATGTTTTCATTTTGTTTTATTACATTTAAATTTTTAATGTTATTACTGCTCCATAATCCTTAAGAAGCAGTCGGAACATTCAAGGTTTTGCTCTGATATGAGCAGTTTTGTTTCATTTTGTTGCTAATTCATTTAGTCTGAGTTTGTGATTGTGCTGCTTGATTTCGACCGATGTCGAGCCATGTACCTTTTTTGCATTACTTGTACAGCTCTGTTGCTGCTTTTTTTAGACATTGCTTTTGACTAGTTACGTGATCATTTGACGGCAATTTTTTTCCAAAAATGTAAGATTGAACATGGCTTATCGGTAATGTTTTTTAATTTACAAAAGCTTCAATTGATTTTTCACTGAGACGAATGAATTAAAGTCTTCCAATTCTACTCTTCTAAATGTCTGATCCTTGAAAATTGTAGAAATTTTTTATTTGGGCGTGTTTTGGTTTTATTTTTATAAATTTGTTTCCCACACAATAACAGGTGCCGGGTTTCTTTGTAATGCTATTTTTGAGTTGTTCTGCCATTTTGAGCGAGTAATGTTTGTTATACAAAAAATGGTGTGAATTAGGTTAAACAAAAATGAATTAAATGAAACAAAAAACAGTTTTGACAGCTTCACTTTACATTTGAATGGTAAAAAAGTTTATCAAAAAATTCAAAAAGTATTGTGCAAAATTCATATTAAAATTAAGTTTACAATAATTAGATTATTTATTGTCACTTTATTTTGGCATGGAAATGAATTTTTTTATGAAAAAAAAACAAAAATTTATTGTTAAAAAAATATTCAGATATTTAATTACAGAATTTTGTTTCGAAGCTTTTCATTTTTCTGTTGTTTATTTTTTTTGAATTCAATTGCCCGTTTTTTTTCCAAAAACCGTCTTTTTTGTTTTATTTCGACATTTAAATGAAATTAAATAGTCCAAGTTTAAACTATAATTTATGCTTCAAAAGAAAAATGGCGGTAACTTTTCATCAGAACAAAATTTGTCTTTCGGTTGGAAAACTTGTTTTTAGTAAGGTTTTTCAGTTTTGTGCGGGCATTTGTATTAAGATTGCAAGTAAAATGAAAACCTAATAAATCAAATGTTTAGAAAAAACAAAAGAGCAAGGAATTTCTATAAATAAACGCAGAAAATAGACATGGTGTGACACCAATTGACACATGAGTCGAACCTGACCCACCTGTGATTTGACCCTGTTTAAATCATGATTTGTCCCTGCTTGACCCAGCATCCGAACCTGCTCAGATGATTCGACCCTGTCCGACTATGATTCGACCCGATTTGACTCATGGTTCGACCCTGTTAAACTCATGATTTGACCTTGCTCAATTCATACTTCGAGTCTGTGTAACTCAGAAATTGAGTCTGTTCAATTCATAATTCTATCCTCTCTCTTTGATGTATGGTTCGACCCTGCTCAACTCATGAATCGACCGACCCGATTTCAGTCTTGTTTTGACCTTGTTCGGCAATGTAAACTTGTTGACACTTGATTTGACACCGTTCAACTTGTGAATCGACCTTGTTTGACTCATAGTTGACCCTGATTGGCTCGATTAGACTTTAGTTCGAACAAAATCTTTTTCGACTCTCTCAGTGTGGGTCAAAAATTGAAAATCGTTTGACTATTTCGGCCGAATTGTGAGCCAAATATTATTGGAAAACCGAATTTGAGGAAGTACCCCTTCAAACAAACAAATAAGCTACGTTTTATTTAAACTATCAAATCAATTCCAGGAACGAAGTTGCTTTTCACAGATTTTTTTCGGCGATTGGGGTTATGATTATTGAAACTTCTTTTGACCTAGTTCGACTGCACATTAAGTTTTTTGGAAAAAGTTAAAGTTAACAAATGAACTTTCCTAGACAAATTTTGCTTTAAAATTTTAATCAAAATGCAGGTCTCAGCGTTCAGTTGAATTGGATTTATTAAGATTACTTTTTAGGAACAATTTGAGTGATACATCTCAGTGTGTAAAAGATATTGGAGAGCCAAAAACCAACAGCTAAGCCAAATTGTAGTGATAAGATCCGCATTGGTGAGAAACACCAGTTTTTAGCATTTGAGAAACACAAGATAAACTCGGTGCTTGTTATCATTTTTACTCGTAAATCTTCATTATTTTAATATATATTTATATGTTACTGGGTTCCCCAAAAAAAATACAGGTTCCAGTTGCAAAAAGATATGTTTCTGCTAGAAACGGTTGTTTTTGTGCCAGCTCAACATGCTACACACATGTATCATTACCATTAGTTGTCGACAGATTCTGCTCACTGGACTTGACTCCACTTCATCTTGAAAGAAATCTTTCAATAGGTAGCAAAGTTGCTCTTGGTAAAAAATTATGTATTATGTACCCCCCCCCCCCCCCCAATAGACCAAGTTAAGATCCTCCACCCATGCGCTCAATTTAAATAAAATTTGTTAAGCGCTGCATGTAAAATATTCGATTGGCTGAAAAATTCCAAATTAGAACCAAGTTAACATCCTCCCCCCAACGGCTTTGGGAGGGGGGATGTTAACTTAGATCAAGTTATAGTTGGACAGCCAAAAGTTAACACCAAAAACAGCAAGAGCAAGCCTTTCACATTTCAAAAACGCCTTTCACATTTCAAAAACGATTATGAAATTTTTCATCATTCATGGGTCCCAAAGTAGTGAAACGGTCGAATATATGCACTTGCTTTATATGAATCTTCTTGAAGATTTGGATGTTTGAAAAGTGACCAAAAGAACAAACACCACCACCCCCCTAAATTTCTCGTAAGACAACCAATATTACTCACTCGGTCAGATGAGGGTTTTTTTCTTAGAATAAAAAATCTATTATAACGTAAACAGGGGTGGATTTAGGATTTTCTCGAGGGGGGGGTGGATTTTCAAAAAAAAATTTGAAAATTTTTTGACCTTTTTTTAGGTCAAAAAAAATGATTTTCCGAGCTCCGAGTTCTCCTAAAGCACCAAAAAGACGCTGTTTTTGCCAAATTTTCAGCGCCTCAGGTAAGTTTTTGAAAAAACAGATTGTAAAAGCGCCGTTTTTGGGCACTTTTTGGAAAATTTTGACAAAAAAAAATCGCGTTTTTTCTGGCGCGCGCTCATCCGTCTCAAAGTTAGTATAAATTGGCACCAAAGGCGCCTTTAGAAAAATTTTAGGGTCGGTCGGCCAAAAATGGATTTCTTAAAAAGTACCAGGGGGGGACCCTTTGGGTCGGCAGGGGGTCGAATCCCTGCGGGGGAGGAACATAAAATTTTTTTGTTTTCTTCGGTCCGTCGGAGAAAATTATTTCTGGGTTATTTTTTGAGTGCCGAGTTTCGTCTATATGTTTTGTGGATCTACTTAACAATCTCCACCCCTTTCAAGAAAGGGTGATTGTTGTAGATTAAAATGGTCGATTTTTCGACCAATCAGAATGCAGCAAAATTAGAATTCTCAATAGAAAGCTCTGTGATGTTTTACTGTATTTATTTATGGGCAGGGGCGGATTTAGGGGGGCGTGGGGGGCAGACGCCTCCCCCCTGAGGGTTTCGACCCCCTCCCGACCCAAAGGTTCGACCCGACCCCCTCCGGGTCGAATCCCTCGGGAAGGGATTCGACCCGACCCCCTCCCGACCCCCTCTCGACCCCCTCCCGACCCACATGTATCATTACCATTAGTTGTCGACAGATTCTGCTCACTGGACTTGACTCCACTTCATCTTGAAAGAAATCTTTCAATAGGTAGCAAAGTTGCTCTTGGTAAAAATTATGTATTATGTACCCCCCCCCCCCCAATAGACCAAGTTAAGATCCTCCACCCGATTGGCTGAAAAATTCCAAATTAGAACCAAGTTAACATCCTCCCCCCAACGGCTTTGGGAGGGGGGATGTTAACTTAGTTCAAGTTATAGTTGGACAGCCAAAAGTTAACACCAAAAACAGCAAGAGCAAGCCTTTCACATTTCAAAAACGCCTTTCACATTTCAAAAACGATTATGAAATTTTTCATCATTCATGGGTCCCAAAGTAGTGAAACGGTCGAATATATGCACTTGCTTTATATGAATCTTCTTGAAGATTTGGATGTTTGAAAAGTGACCAAAAGAACAAACACCACCACCCCCCTAAATTTCTCGTAAGACAACCAATATTACTCACTCGGTCAGATGAGGGTTTTTTTCTTAGAATAAAAAATCTATTATAACGTAAACAGGGGTGGATTTAGGATTTTCTCGAGGGGGGGGTGGATTTTCAAAAAAAAATTTGAAAATTTTTTGACCTTTTTTTAGGTCAAAAAAAATGATTTTCCGAGCTCCGAGTTCTCCTAAAGCACCAAAAAGACGCTGTTTTTGCCAAATTTTCAGCGCCTCAGGTAAGTTTTTGAAAAAACAGATTGTAAAAGCGCCGTTTTTGGGCACTTTTTGGAAAATTTTGACAAAAAAAAATCGCGTTTTTTCTGGCGCGCGCTCATCCGTCTCAAAGTTAGTATAAATTGGCACCAAAGGCGCCTTTAGAAAAATTTTAGGGTCGGTCGGCCAAAAATGGATTTCTTAAAAAGTACCAGGGGGGGGACCCTTTGGGTCGGCAGGGGGTCGAATCCCTGCGGGGGAGGAACATAAAATTTTTTTGTTTTCTTCGGTCCGTCGGAGAAAATTATTTCTGGGTTATTTTTTGAGTGCCGAGTTTCGTCTATATGTTTTGTGGATCTACTTAACAATCTCCACCCCTTTCAAGAAAGGGTGATTGTTGTAGATTAAAATGGTCGATTTTTCGACCAATCAGAATGCAGCAAAATTAGAATTCTCAATAGAAAGCTCTGTGATGTTTTACTGTATTTATTTATGGGCAGGGGCGGATTTAGGGGGGCGTGGGGGGCAGACGCCTCCCCCCTGAGGGATTCGACCCCCTCCCGACCCAAAGGGTCCCCCCTTTGTACTATTTTGAGAAATCCATATTTGATGATGGACCCTAAAAAACTTTTAAAGGCGCTTTTAGCGCCATTATGTACTAATTTAGAGGGGGGAGTGAGCGCCCAAAAAAACGCTATTTTTGGTCAAATTTTTCCAAAAAGTGTCTAAAAATGCCTTTTTTGGCCTGTTTTTTCAAAATTTTGCCTCCGGCGCCGGAAATTTTACCGAAGCATGGTCTTTTTAATGCTTGGGGAAAGCTCGGAAAATCAATTTGGTGCACCTAAAAAAAACGGTCAACAAAATTTCGAAATTTTTTTGAAAATCCGTCCCCCCTCGAGAAAGTCCTAGATCCTCCCCTGTTTATAGGGGTGGATATTCTTAAGTAGGTACCATGGGGGGGGGAGAGATTGTTAAGTAGATCTTGTTTTTAACTAGCTTAATTTTTTGTGGATCATCGGTCGCAAACAAACTGAAAAAGAGCGATTAAACAGCGATTTGAATTCACATGAATTGAACAGAAAACAATTAAGTAATTGCTAAATTATGAAATTAACTGGACGATGAAACAACATAAACAACAGAAAGCAAACGATCATGATTGGATGATGATGAGATTGTCTGACAAACAGACCGACGGTAAACTAAGCTGAGAGCTGTAGCCTTAACCGACAGTAGAATAGAGATAGAGATGATTGATGTGTTTGGTGACTACTTGTTTTGCTGATGCGATAACAGACTCAATACTTGATATGCAGATGTTTTTATTTCGGGCACGGTGAAACCGCGCGGCAGTTTCTGATTGGCCAGCCACCGGTCGGCTTTGCTCGCCAGTAGAGTCCACTCGGGCTGAAAAGGGGCGCAGTTGTGGGTGAGCCATACTATGGCCAAAGCAGTGGCCCATACTCTGTTTTCCGATGTATCTGGCTTGCGTCTGTTGGCAAAGTAAGTCTCGTCCAGCGGAGTGGAGAAATAGTCCATCACAAACACCTAAACCATAAACCATTCACAAACACATTTAGGGGGGGGGGGGGTGTTGGGGAGGCGGGGGGTTGCTGGTCGAACAAGCGATATAAAGCCGAACAAGCGAGATGACAAATATATCGCTTGTTCGGCTTTAAAAAAAACCAATTCTTACTTTTAATCATATCAGCGTGTTGTCAAAGAGAGGGGCGATTTTTCAATCCTTCTCCTTTTAATTTCTTCATTAATATCACCAAAAAGTCGCCATGTTTTGCTCGGGTTTTCGTTACATCTGTACAAACTTAGGGCTTCTTGGTACCATTTTACTCTACAAAGTCAAAACGGAGCTGAAAAATGTATTTTTGCACAAAATCTTTCGAGCCGCTCCTCCAAACACAGTTTGAAAGCTCATTTGTTTTCATAATGTGAGAAATATTTTGGGTAAGGGAGCATATGGCGTTATCGTAGGTTCACAACTTACACTTGCATGCTGAAACTAATTTTCTTTCACTGCGCATCAGTAAAAAAAATTAAAACCATTCACAGCCCAGACAAATAAACAAAAATTTGCAGGTCTTCATCGAAAAATGTTTTGATGATTATCAGGGGCGAATCTAGGATTTTATCGAGGGGGGGATTTTCAAAAAAAATTCTAAAATTTTGTCGACCTTTTTTTGTAAGTCGAACAAATTGATTTTCCTAGCCCTCCCAAAGCACTAAAAAGACCCTGTATTGCCCAAATTTTCTACGCCGCAGGCAAAATTTTGAAAAAACAGGCCAAAAAAGGCGTTTTAAGACACTTTTTGGAAACTTTTGACCAAAAATAGCGGTTTTTTGGGCGCGCACTCCCCCTTCTAAGTTAGTATATATTGGCGCCGAAGGCTCCCTTATAAAGACTTTAAGGTCCGTCAGCCAAAAATGAATATCTCAAAATAGTACAAAGGAGACCCTTTGGGTCGGCAGGGGGTCGCATCCCTGAGGGGGGGGGGGGGGGGGAGGCGTCCGAACCCCCCCCCCCCTAAATTCTTCGCCCCTGATTATCGGTAATAGAACGTCATTTCCTTAGTTACTGAATTATAATTATTTCACTCTTATGGTGTTAACTCACGTGAAACGACGATTCAGATTTAAAGACAAATCGCAATACACTCACCGTCGCAATCACGCCAAGATCTTGCGAGCTTGCCAGCAGAAAGTGTGGACTTTATACGAACGTTAGAGCCTGTTAGCGCCAATCGGCGACAAGCTTTCTCATTGATTCAATTTTTATTGGGCAAAAAATCAGTTTCAAAGAATAGTTAATGCCAAATTGTTGGCAATATCATTTTTGGTCAATTCATCTGAACGATGTTATTTAACCGAAAACTGCTCATTCCGACGTCGGATTTTCGTTTTTCACTGAATTCGACACTTACAAACGATTTATAACAAAATCATTGAACTAAAATGCTGTAGTTTTTGACCGATTAAATTGCTCAAGGTCACAGATGTTGCCAACGATTGGGCATTAATTATAATTAAGCCAACTGACCTCATCTGAGCTGCACTTGCTCACAGTATGGTAACTCAGTCTCCGACCACTTGCAGGACGTGGCTGGGCTTTCTTAATGGTTCGTCTTCTGTTCTTATCGCCCCCTCCTCCCGAACCACCTCCTCCTCTCGATGATGCCCCCTGATGTTTGGCGTAATGCTGCTGGAAATGCCCCCCTTCCCCTTCCCCTCCCCCTCCTCCCCTTCCTCTCGTCCCAATTATCCCTCCCCCTGTCCCCGTCGACTGATGGAGATGGTGGTGGTGACTTCTGCTGTGTCCGTGACTGGAAGACGTTTGGCAATACCTGTGCTCCTCCGATTCGGGCGAGCTCTTTTTTGATTGGTCAATGCGCAACTCCCCTGCTAAGCCGCAATCATGCGAATGTTGTTGGTGGTGGTAGTGATAGTGGCGCGAATTGTACATAGAGGAAATCTGTTGGGAGGAGCCTCCCGCGTAACGCTTGCGACTGTCGGGTGGCGAGGAAGCGCAGGCGGCGGCGGCGGCAGCCACCTTCTCGTAGAGCTCTTTCGGAATTTGGTTGACTGGGTCCAGATGGTGATGATGCGGGGGGTGTGAGAGTTGAAGCCTGCCGGTTGGAGGAGACCCCGCATGTAGCTCGTCTTTCTCATAACCTGTGTATTATGAAAAGCATGACTTATACTGAGCTAATTTTTGTTAAATTAGTATTAAAAAATGGCTGATTTCTTAACAATCACTCAAAGGCAATTTTTAAAAATCAATCATGAAGATATATTTTAAAAAAAATTGAAAACACAGAGGCGAAGCTTGGCTTCGCACCACTTGCGATACAAAACAAGAAAGCCGCTATGTCAGAAAAAATCGAAAATGATGAAAGAACTAGATCTATCAAAATGATTAAGACTACTATTGAAAAAAAAATGCCAAGACAATAGAATGTGAAATTAGCATAGAACGAAATCTTACGAAGCGGTAACAAGCCGGAAACGCCTTAGCAGAAACCCTTCAAGCCAAAAAAATCAACAAGACTTAAGTTTTGTAAAATGTTTATGAGTCTCTCTCGCCCTCAAAACACGCACACACACACACACACACACACACACACACACACACACAAACACACACACACACACACAAACACACACACACACACACACTATAGTTGCTTGTCCAATGAATCAATATGAGGCCACTAAGCAGGTATATTATGAGCCGAAACCAATTAAGCCGAAAAAAAATGCCAAAAAATGAAAAGATTATAGACTACTTAAAAGTTATTAAGTCCTCTTCCCCCTCAAAACACACACATACGTAGATACCAACTATTTTTCGATCGTCAAAGGACGCAATTTAAGGTAAGCCGTAACTTGGCCAGCAAAAAAAAAACGAAAAAAAATGAAATAAATTGTTGTCATGATAGTCTATAATTTTATTAAGATTTTAAGGCATTTTGTGTGGTCTAGAAGCGATAAGACTAGAAGCATTGTGTGGTATAGAAGCATAAAAATTCGCTTCCATTGAATGAACTAAAAAGCAGGACGCTAAACCAATAAAAAATAAGCTGAAATCACTTGAGTAGAACAAAGTGTGGCCTGACTAAAATAACGTCACCTAGAAAATAAGACAGATGATTTTACATAGAAACAAAAGCACCCAGTTTTCATTCAATTAGGATTAATTATTGCAACCACGTAGTTTGTCGCAGACGCTTTAAAAAAAGCGAAACAAAAATTGATTTTGCTTTTTGACTTTTGAAAATTTTACTGTTTTTTCTTGACTTTTATAGGGTGGAAATTAAGCAAAAAACCATAAGTATCAGAAAACAAAAATGAATTTTTTGAACTTAATTTGAACAAAAAAAATTCCAAAAAAAGTTTGTAGGGTAAGTTTAACAAAAGAACTTCAATTTATACAATTTATACTACATTAGCAACAAAAAGAGTTCTAGCGTGAAACACTTGGTTCTAAAGTTGCCGTCCCACGAGAATGATCGCAACCAGAGGCGGATGTAGGTTTTTTTCGAGATGGGGCGGGGATTTTCAAAAAAAAATTGTAAATTATGTCGACCTTTCTTTTAGGTCGACTAAATAGTTTGAACTTCCCAGCAGGTCCAAAACTCTATAAAGACCTTTTTTAGACAAAAATTGTCCCGCTGCAGGCAAATTTTTGAAAAAATATATGTCAAAAAAGCCGCTTTTGGGCACTTTTTGAAAATTTTTGGCAAAAAGTTACGTTTTTATGGTTCGCGCTACCGCTAAGTGTTAGTATATATAGTTGCTAATTGTTCTAATTTCATATTGTAACCAAAACATAGAATTTTTTGTGCTCACTGCCACTATAAAATCAATCTGTTTATATCCTTTTGCAAAATGAATGAAAAATAATGCTTAAAGTCTTTGGAATTACTCGTATAAAATTCAAAACATTGGGAACTAAAAAGACTCTTCTCGTGAAATACGAACGTAAGAAGAGTCTACTCTACTCAAAAAATACGAATGTTTGTTACGAGAGATAACGAAGTTAAGAAATCACTACTTATTTACAAAATGGGAGATTTCCCAATGAACAATGAATAGAAGCTCAAAACTACTGAAATCCATTCCAAAAGTTTTCTTTTTAACCACCCCACCTTTCTCTCCAATAAATACCAACCAATTTTTCTCAAAACCTTAACCAAAATATCTTCAATCCAGCCATTAAATCTAAATATCGAGTCTAGAGGCAACTTTTAATAAATTCATGCTTTTCTAGTTAAAATCTTATTTCTTTTCTAAAATGTTTTCCAGCGAATTTCAGGTTTATTTTCTAAAATAGGAAGTAGATAAAACCCTATATTACTAGCAAGCGTTTTGTCCGACGTCCGTTGGCCAAAAATGGATTTCTTAAAAAGTACCAAAGGGGGGGGGGGGGATTTTGGGTCGGCAGGGGGTCGATTTCCCGAGCGAGAGAGGGCCCCGCCACCGCCCCTCGCCCTTCTCCTAAATCCTCCCCTGATCGCAACAAATAGTGGAGATCTCTTTAACTATTCCCCCTCTTCCAAGGGTACCTGGTACGGAATTGCCACCCCTACAAAGAACTATATAGAAATGAACGGTTAAACAAATGTGAACTTTGTACCAAGTAACGGGGGCGGGGGAGGAGGTTGTTGCAAAGGGTGGGGCGTTATTAAAGAGATACAAATAGTTGAACTTACTTGTGAATAGTAGACCAATTGAGCAAATGACAAATTAAATATACTTGACACAAGCCTGAAACCTACTTTGACATCTCATAGTTCAATCTAAAGATAGATGTAAAGTTGTCAGCGTCCGTTCAATATATAAAAGGGTAATTTTGTTTATAATTTACAAAATGAATCCAAACAATGCTATCTTGGAAGAACACCAAAAAAGCCCATCGACTAGTGTCTTTACAGTATTTGGTGATTGATAATTATAACCTATTCATTACAACAAACCGTGCTTGAGAGCAATTTACAATCAGAAGGATGCTTACATGTATGATCGACACTGCCCGCTCTGCGATAGTAGTCAGGATCAGTCGCTTTCAAGTAGTCTTTGTTCATGATCTTCTGTCGTTCTCGGAACGCCTGGTCATCGTAACTACTTCTTCGATGTCCGTTTGCATCTGGAACTGTCAAAAACAGAGACGAGGGTTGAATAGTCGAAGTGTAATAGCCACCCGACGAACCACCGGTGGCATTCACATCGTCTTCCGCCACGGAACCACTGGCTGCCGCTGCTGCCGCCGCGCAATTCTCCGCCGCCAGTTCATCCTCGTAGTCAACCGCTCGGTCATTGTCGTTTTTGAGACTCTTTTTCTTTTGTCGGACGTTGCCGACGTTCAAAAGGTTTGCGTTAATTTGCAGAATTGGAGGGTCAATGGTCGGGGATATGAAGACAGTGGGAGAGGTATCGGGCTCGGAGCTTCCGCTGCGATAGCTTTGAGGGATTTCCACTTTGATTGAATTAAAATCACCTTAAAATGAACATGTAGATGATAGTCGGAATTTCAAAATCATGCTATAAGTGTAAGATTCAAATAGCAGTAGCAGATTTAGGGGGGGGGGGGGGTATGCCCTTTCCTCAGGAATTCGACCACCTGGCCACCCAAAGGGTCTCCCTTCAATTTTTGGTCGAACTAACAAAAAATTCGAGAAATATAACATAAAAAGTTTGAGAAGGGGGCGCGCGCTAAATAAATGAACGTCACATTTTGGTTCAATCATTTCAAAAAGGGCCCTAAAACGTATTTTTGACCTATTTTTTTTCTAATTTAGAGAACTCTGGAAATCATTTCTGTGAACCTAAAAAGAGACCCATAAGGGGAAGTGTAAATCGGTGCTTGGTGTTGCAGTCATTTGAAACAGTTGAATTAAACTCTAAAATGGCTTCAACAGAGGGCAGTTGCTTTCTCATTTATATCAAATTACTAAATCAAACCAAATTCTGATTAGATCAAATTCCCCATAGAATAGTTTTTTGTCATTTTCTTGAATGAAAAGAGTGGGTGATGTTTTATTAATAATAAATTAGTTTTCAAGTATATGTTATGAATAAATATACTTGGGAGAGCGCCAAAGGCAATTTGATAATGATGCCAGGTCAAGTTTGAAGACAGATCCAAACACTCGCTTCTAGTGGTCCTCGAGTATATTTGATTTTTTGAACTGATTTCACTTTTGAAATAAAGTTTTTGAATTTTAATTGGCTCTTTTTTCTCAACCCCTTTCCACTGCCCACAACGTATAATTACCAAATTTATGGTGCAATTATACCAGCCCTACCATTTTAAGATACAAAAAACCATGGGTTCGATTTAGGTATTTTTGTTAATTTGCATATGAGTATTTGGCTAAGTTGTAATGAGAACGTACGCCATTGTATTCACTTCTCTGAGTTTAATTCTTTCGGTCATTAGAAAAAATGGCTTGTTTTTCTAGAGATAATAAATACTTTCAAGAAATTTGAGTCACAAGCGCCATTGACTATTTTTCAATCTCAACTATAATTAAAGGGTCTTTTTTCAGGGTACCCCCTTTGGTACTATTTTAGCATATCCAATTTTGGCTGACCGATACTTAAACTTTTAAAGTGCCTTTGGCACCAAAATTTACCATTGAAGGGGAGCGCGCAATTTTTCCGCACTTTTTGGTCAAAAATTTCCAGGAAAGTTGCTAAAACGCGTATTAGGCCTGCTTTTTTTCTCATATATTCGCCTGCTGGGTAGACAATTTTGTCAACACAGGGTCCTTACAGTGATTTGGGAGAGCTCAGAATATCAATTTTATCAACCTAAAATAAGTCGACAAAATTTTCGATTATTTTTAAAATATTTTTTTAAAGAAGACATTAAGTGAGAAAAGGCCAACGGGATGGCAATCATACAAAGATTAAATAATAGGTTTTTACACAATTGTGGTTTTACAAGGTTAAACATCAAAACCAAATATATTTGTCATGGCCTAATTAGTCCACATCATAACAATTCGAAGATATAAGCAAAAATTTACAGGTGGGGAAAACGAGAAAAAGGCTTATCTGATTAAATTTGCGCTGAACGAAATATGTTGAAGGCTGAAGGCAACAGGTTATGGGGCTAGGTAGTCTAAACTATGACTGACTATGATTACTCTTAATGTTGACAACTATTTTGGGACAGCATTTGTGCAAAGGGGGATTTGAAAAACTGGTTTCTGATTTCGAGTACCTGAATCACTGCTTTGAAATCTAATACAAATAGATTTAATTTTAGTGATATCTTAAATATTTTAAATTATAATTTAATTTTTTAGTGACCATTACGAATACTTGCATGGCATCGCTTTTGAAAATACGATAATGTCAATCAAACTCAAACTTACTCTGCCAAGTTTGCGATTGTCCTTCGTTGCTCTCCAAGTTCAAATCCTGAAAGCAAGGTTCAAAGTGAAAACAAAGATTCGATATATCACAAGCAGCACAGAACGTTCCGACTACAAAAGGTAACGCAAAACCCTAATTTTTTATTAAATGTATGTCATAATTTTAAAAATCTTACTTTGATCATTCATTAGCTCCGGTCATTGTTAAAAAAATATGGAGAAAGAGTTTTGGTCTAAAGTTTTTTTCACAAATTTATTAAGTAACTAAATAATTACAAAGCACTCACTGTTCTGTTATATATTTTTTTGTTTTAAATTATAAATTACTCTGAAAAAATCTGTATAAGCTTAAAAAATGTATAAAAAAAATGTATAAGCTTTGACAACACTGGCGCAAGCTTTGACAACACTT